TGGATGTCAAAGGGATATAGGCTGGTTAACTCAGGTGAAACAACCCCCCCCCCCCAACTCCATATAAATTAACTCTGAGGCTGAAGGTCATAGCTCGTGGACATGTAAGCAATGCAGGGAAACTCTAAAGAAAAGTAAAAGAGAGCAGACGAAAAGAAGCTCCTTCCTTTTTTCTTAAAATTCCGAAGAAATGAAATGAAAGTAAAAAAACATGGTAAGTCTCAATGGTTTCGATAGTTTGGAAGCGCCGTACTGTGGTCACGATTGGCAATGTTCAAGGAGTCTTTGAAAATGGACGGGCAGTGGAAAGGACGCAGTATCACTTCGACCTATCGCAGGTTCTATTTCAAGCGTTACCCATCCTACCCATTGTCTGGTGGCCCTGTCGCGGTTATCATGCTGGTCTCAAAGGAAAAGAAATAGTGCTGCTAGAAATAATATTAGCCGCGAATACTGCTTTTGTCTTTTGATTCACACTAAATGCAATACGGAGGTGTGCGGTGCGGTGATTAGAGCCCTTCTATCCTTCATACTTCGTCTAATAGATCTCTCTCAGATCATTTCGGGGATCCCAGGCTCCTGGTCCAGTTCACTAGAATTTCTTTTCTGTATCTCTACATACTTCAATGTTGCAGCGAAAACGGTACAAAAAAAGGCAAATACCTATCGTCTCACATCAAATCTATTAGATCGTAACCAGAATAATATTTTCAGGAGTATTTTCAGAACATGCAATGAGAGGGCGGAGGTGGTGCACTAGCAAGATTAGGAGTTTACTTGCTCACAGTGCGGGAGTACAGCATCGAAGTGGCTCTCGTACCACCCTAGCGACCGTTCCACCATTCCGGAATCAGCTAACTAGCATGTGAAGAAGAAACACCTATTGTTTACTGGATACCACACTGATTGCACAGGTCCAATCGCATCAATTGGTCCAGGATGGAAGGGGAATAAGTGGGGTACCTATCAACGGACTGATCAACCCAGGCAATTTTGTCTTCTTCATCAATTCTACTCGAGATGTAAAAGTAACTGAGTTGTGCTAGAAGTTGAAAACTATTAAGGAAAAGAAGAAAATGTGTCATGCAAATACATGGCACATCGCGGCAATAGAGTGGGCGTGACTGCGTGCGTCTTTAGATCCTTCTGCTGCTGTGCTTCAAGTAGAATATTACTGATTTGAAGCAACTGTCCTCTCGTCTCTGTCCAAGGAATGGCAGTTTTTATAAATGGAAATACCCATTGAAAAACGCTTCCATGCTATATTCATGTGGAATAGGAAGGCACATTCTTTGCACCTCGTGTATATCTCCTTCAGTACCGTAATCCAACTATCGAGTGCCAAAATATCAAGTTTTAGCATAACTATTTTGATTTCTTGATTAATAAGCTCACATGATTAATCAGTGCCAAGCAAAAGTTGCG